TTTAAGCAGGTCGGATCCATGAAACACAGAGTCCACTTTCACGCTTAGACGCTCTATCCCATTGTTAATTTATTCTGAGTTGCTTTGATGTCGATGCTACCTCGCAAGGATTACACTTTTATTGAACAACGCGAATATATGGCAATACAAAAGCTCTGTAATATCCGTAGTGTATGTGCGGCTGAGACGTTTAGCTTGCGATCTCAGCAACGTGCTTTAAAGGGGTGTCAATTTGCAGATTTCTCGCAAATGAAACCACTGAATTGCACCGACCTCCATTAATGCGAATGCCCCAGTTCTGAGGATTTGTCGGTGTCCTTTGATTGTCTTTAAAGCGCTAGACTATCCTAAAGACAAACCGCTGTAAACTATACCAAATATAGGTTATAGTAAAAAAAAAACGAATTCGGGGCCATCAGTTTACATAACACCAATTTTACCAGGACTCAATTATGGTTACATTTAAAATTAGTATCTTGATTCGGAATCCTAGAATTTTTATGTTACCATCGTTCAAATGTACATCTCCATCAAATATTCTACGCCTTCAAATATTCCTGTAAAAAAAACGTGTGTGTTTACTTTTGTACGCACGTAAGAAGTTATACTTCTTAAGCGTAACAAATAATAATAAAAAAAATAATTATAAGTTAACTAGCGACCCGTATTGTAGATGTATTATACGTATAAACTTTCCTCTTGAATGACACTATCTAGTAAATGTAGTTTTAAATCTAGCATACATAGGGACAGACAGAAATCGGAACGACTTTGATTTATACTATGTAGTGATGTCAAAAAGTTTTTATTGGTCGCCATGGTAACACAGTGAAGATGGTGTTGCTTTTTGGTGATACGTTACTAATATTATAAACGCGAAAGTTTGTATGTATGGATGGATGCTTGTTACTCTTTCACGCAAATAATTCTGAATTGATTTTAATCAAACTTTAAAATAGTAGGTATATCTTATACATCAGAATAAGACATAGGCTATAATTTATATGCATATATTATGTATACCTGTCTAAAAGTTACGCCTTCAGCCATTCTACGCAGACGTAGTCGCGGGCAGCAGCTAGTAAAGTCCAAAAACTCACGTGTTAACGTAATTAACACACTATCCACGAGTGAAATAGATCACGCCGGCGACGTTTATTGCTCGATCCCAAACAGGAAACAATTAAGAGGGTGTTGGAGTGGTCGTAAAAATCCCTTCCCTCGCACCACCAGCTCCTTTCCCGGTAGTCGCTTAACGGCTTAACAGCAGGAATGCACCCGGACGCGCCCGAACCTGATGACAATGCATTAGTAGGTAATTTGAATGTAACCATTTATCACCTCCGTACACGTCTCTGTTTCGGATGCGTCTCTCGACCTGCCCATTGATATATTTTAGTTGTAAAACTGAAGCGTTATCATATGAGACATAATTCTCTTTTTTATGTGGCAAGGTGGCAAATGAGGTGGCGGTTCACGTGACGTTAGTGATTTCCGCCACCCATGGACATCTGCAACACCCGTAGAGTTGCAGATACTCAGCAGACGAAATGCAGAAATATTTTAAAAACAATCACGTAGGAGCGATGTCTTCCATGATAAAATATTTTATACTTGTGCCGTTCTTATTTATCATCTACAAAATAATTTATATTTGGTTCATTTATATCCCAACAGTAAGTAATGTTTCGAAAGAGATACCTTTCTTCCCCTTTTTCCTAACTTTATATCGGCGAATCGAAATTTGTTTCGACATTCAATTGTTTTCATTTTTAATATCTCACATGGCGCTTTAGTTAAACTCCCAGCTGCATTGTAGCTCGTGGGCGCAATGTATTTTAATTGACCGCCACCCAGTGTTTGACAATTGCGCTTAATAATCCGCCGCCGGTCCATTATGAAGTCATTATATGACGCATTACTCGTGAACTGTAAAAAGCGCCCGCATTCGTTGCACGCGTCGGATACCCGGCCGCCCGTATGGCTGTGCGTTTTTTCTTCTATCCCCCGTATCGCCCCTTTGGGTTGAATGATTCGACAATTCTTCACTATCTACGTGTGAAGTTTTGATAGCTAATATATCGAGGATAGAGATGTATGGAAATCCCGACTACGGTCAGTTCCAAATTGAGCCAAACAAGTTTATGTCATATTTGAAAAGAAATAAAAAAAAACATCGTAATGTATATCACCGCAGTATCTCGCAGCAGTTATTCTATGTAAGTCGTAATTTTAAACCCCGCTCTAGATGGAGTGCAAATGTGCGGGAAGTCAATGCAATCAGGTGGCTCAGTATCGTGTCTTGTGGCAGTGGGGAAGTCTATGTTCAGCAGTGGACGCTGAAATTATGATGATATTAAATTTGACCTTTTGAGAGATTGATTCAATCCTTAATTAAATGATAAATTTGGCTAGATTCCATTAAGACTTTATTACAACAATAAAAAGAAGAAATTTGTCTCTAGGATTATTTAATACTAACTGGTTCGTGCTTTACCACCATTCTACTACGCCAAGTGGTTGTAGAAGGTGACTTGTTCGACTGGTATTTCGCCGTTATTAATAAATTTGATCGTTTAATGTTGACTATTAGAATATTTTTCAGGGTTCTGCTATTTTTTTATCACCTTGCTAGGCCGTTACGTTGCTATGACGACAGTTCGAGATATCGATGACGCTCGTTCGAGATTCGGCCGCGGACCAATTGTTCCATCTCGACGAAACATCAGACGAACCATTATCGATCTGACCGAGCAATGTTAAGGAAACAAGGCGGGCGTTCGTGGGTGTGGAGACATCTTCGGTCACGCGAATTCTCATTGCGCTCATTTATCCCGCTTATTTTTACTCGATATAGAAGTTAAATGTTTGATTGTTTTTAATGAGTAATCCCTGATAGTGCTGCTTCAAATAAAATTCCATATTAGGAAGATACAGTGTTTTTTTATGTGAAAGTTGCCAAGGGAGCAGACGGTTCACCTGATGTTAAGTGAATACCGCTGCCCGTGGATATCTGCTACAACCGAGGGTTGCAGATGCGTTGACAACCTTTTAAAAATTGAGCTCCGGTCACGTCACTCACCAGACGAAACGCGAAAGCATTGTACTTCCACTTTACGCCGGCCTTCTGTGAGGTCGTGGTACTTACCCGGACGAGCCTGCCCATTCGTGCAACAGCCGAGGGTGCTGCCACCTTACCACCGAAATGTGAGTAAAACGTCAATAGAACACAGGATAACGTTATCCTACAGCAAGGGAAATGTTTTAATAATAAAAAAAAGACTATCGTAGAATTGGACAGGATCACGTTATCGAAAAAGGGTCTCGTGGCGGAAACGGAGGCCCTTTAGAAACGGAGCGGCGGTGTCGAAACACAATTCTTCAAAAACTCGCCGAAAGATGGTTGGGGTCTATTTCGTGTTTACTTTATGACTTATTGTTACAAAGTAAACACTATACAGACCCATCAATGAGTAGATGACGTCGGATGGCTGTTGGATTTACTGATTTGATGACTACCCGACTGCTTTACGGTGCTGTTTGCTAGCACTTCAGGATCAATGGATCAAATAATGAGTTTCTTTTGCACGATCCCCTATTGGTAAAATATACTGTTATGTACTGTTTGTCTGTACTGTTTGTGTGCAGTTACGGCGTATTTATATATTTATGTTTGTTTTTCAGTTACTACGTACCCATATACCTTCATTAGTTTGACTAGACCATTGTTTAAAATATAATTTCATTCCTTGACCTAGATGTACAAAATTATCAAAAGAATAAAAAGTATAAAGATCTTTATTTTTTTAGATACTATTTATAAAGTTTATCGGTGTATGCAAATGCGACTCTATAAAGGCAAGTTATAATCTTATGTATGTATGTACGTACGTAGCTGACAATACCACTTGGCTCGATAGGGTGGATGCAACACTGCTTTCCTAGAAGTTAGCAGAGCTCCCTCGTTCCACTTAAGTGTCATTCATATGTTTATCAAACATGGTAGGTATTTGATGTTTCATTTATGAGATAAATGAGCAATAAAAATCCGCGTGAAAGAACATATAGCTGACATAAAACTTAATAGATTGAACAAGTCTGCAGTTTGTGAGCACATTTTAAATAGGCCCAACCACTACATCAGGTTTGACAAACCACAGATCCTTGCAAAGGAACACCGATTCCTCCCAAGGATGATGCGCGAGGCTATTGAAATTAAAAAAACACCCTAATTTCAATAGAGAAGAAGGTTGGGTTCTACCATCAGCTTGGGATCCTGTCATCAATAAAATTAAATCTAGGCCCAAACAAACCACTACTGCAAGACAAGATACAATTAGATCCCTCTGCATAGATCGGGCACAAAATTAATAATTCAAAAACTGACGGTAGCCCGGGTTAACTATGACTATCAGACGTCTAACACCTCAGTCTGTCCCGTGACCATGAACGCTGTAAAGGGTTCGAAACGTCGGGAATTAAAATTAAAAATAAACGCGAAAAATCCGTAAAATTAGTTTCATTTATAATGTGTAATCGCGTAAATACAAGAAATTATTAAGAATACGAAAAAAGTGAAATATTATCGTCAGCGTTTCTCCGTTCTGACCTCATTAAAATTTCACTAAAACTGCTGATCTTCTTCCTCGACATTGAATCAAATCATTAGTAAAGAAAATGTCTATGTTCATTTTTCTCGGCTTTCCGTTATTGGATAAATAAATAAAAGTATAAATTATACATAAGTAATGTCTATAGAAATAGTTAAATATGTACGTTTGAATACAAACATAGGGCCTCTTACTTGTAAATCCAACACAAAAAGCTTTAGTAAATAATTGGACTCCGATAAGGAACTGATCTCGTCGATCCATTGGAATAACATTTCCCACCAAGCAGGGCATGGTTTTTGAGGCGGGTTTTTTATTGCCACAGATAGCCTACAGATGTCGCGACCTCCCTTCGTTGTAATCGGCCGCCGATAAGCGGCCGCGGCGCCTATGACCGATACCCTCCCGATCCGTTCAAATAGTTCCGATCAGTTCACGATGTTGTCGGTGTACAAACGCGCTCCGTATCGTTCGTTCAACTCCTTGTGCGTTCAGGTCGTCTCGCCCTTATCGGATGGCGCTTCCGCTGGGAGTTCCGATTCAAAGCCTCATCCGTCACCAGGCCTATACAATGGTCTAACGTTACGCGGGAAAGAAGAAAAGCCGACGTGACGTATATTCTGAGATGTATTTGTGAATTTTGTTCTTAGTATGTTTAATTGGGAGCCGTGATAGCTCAGTGTCCGGGCACTCGCCTTTAATTCAATATACTCGAGCAACCTGACTTCGACCCCCGGTGCCGGCACCAATGAAGTTTTTAACTTTAAGTGCTGACTTAGCACGTGCTCCGCGGTGAAGGAAAACATCGCGAGGAAACCTGCATATTTTCGAAATAATAACAAAAAAAAATATATTTCGAAGTCGCCCATCTGCAGTGGAGCCGCGTGGTGGACTATGCCCTGATACCGTCTGTATAGAGGCCTTTGCCTAGCAGTGGGATATGTATAGGCTGTTACTTTACTTTACTTTTATGTTTAATTGTGGTAGGGCTACGCAACGCCGGATAACTACGATGACCTCACAGAAGACAGACGTAAAGTGGATGTGTTACAATTCCGCTTCGTCTGGTGAGTGAGGTAGCCGGTGCCCGCTTTATTTAAACGTGGCATCGCATTTGCAACCCTACGGCTGTTGCAAATGTCCATAGGCTGCGGTTGTGTGTTGTGAGGTCGATGCCACTTTCTGACGTAAAAAAATCACTTTGGTATATTGTGTTAAATTTTGTTCTTTGTAATTTGTATTATATCATTGCACTCTTTTGTCTATTCTGCTAGAATCAGCTTCTGCTATTACATGAGCCGGCTATATCTGGCACATCTTGTGAAGTATCACCACCGCTTCGGTGTAAAGTAGAATTAGTTGTTTTTGCATTACGTCTCGAGTTCATACTCGTTAAGAGTTGGCAATGCATTGAGTGGTATAATCCACGATGGGCGTAGTGAAGCTCCCTTCCGCTTGTAATAAATATGTACTTATATATTTTACGTCAAAGGTGTTTTTGTCGGCACGCCGTAGCTTCCATGATTCTTAATAAAATTTAATGATTCAAACGCCATTTTAAAGTTTACGTTTGACGCAATATACAAAAAACAAGTTGAATAAAGTTTATGTTTTCTTAAAAATAAATTAGTTCAAAAATTTATGATATTATTTAAATTTATTATTAAAAGAATGTATGATAATGACATCTGTTTACAATTTGTTTAAATAAAAGATTGTGGAGTAGACTGAATACACATTATATTAACATTCGACTGACTGATCTACATTGCGAATGGGTCAACAGTTACTAGCTTTGGTTATGGAATTGGATAACGTTGTGTAAAAATATAATATACAGAATCAACAGAATCATTGTTTGACAATATATAATGATAGATAGATGCATCTATCGTGTACCTTCCACAAAGTTAACAGTAAATGAACTTTCCTATAATGCTTGAGTTAAAATTCATACTAATCTTCGTGATTACATTGTAAATATTAAGATTATGTCACGTCGTCGCTAAACGTGTCGCACTCACAGTCGTTTTGAAATACTTTCACATTCTCTAATAATACGTTTTAAGTAAGCGTTCGTCTTCAAACACAAACCGCATCTTAATGGCGCATTGTTTTTCGCACCGACGCGCTCGTCCATATGCGTGTCGTGTGCGTGTGTGTGAACACGCACGTTTGTACACACACGCGGGCACACGTGGAATTCCTCGGAGCACCGTGACCTCGGCAGCCGCGACGGTGCCACGCGGACCTTAAATGTGCGTCCCCTATGACAAGCACCTCCCTCACTAGTACTCGTGTCCGTATTTCGTAAATGTACGCACATGTTTGTAGCGATCAATGTTTACTTTCTACGGGAAAAAAATTGATTTTATACTCACAAACATTCGCGAATGCAGGTGGATGAGGATCGTGCTTCGTGGCAGTTTGGAGGAGGCCTATGTTTGGCAGTGGACAGAATGAAATGATGATGATGAAACGTTCACGAATAAATACATATACAGATTTGTGCGTTTGTGTATGTGTTCGTTTTCGTGTGAGTGATTGATTTTAATTAATATTTATCCCGCTGATCGAGTACGTCAGCGTCAGATTACACTCAGGTGTTAATAATTATTTGGAATTTGAATTGGGATTAATTTGCAGTAGGTCATACAAATACTTGTACCGACAATCGGCGTCGCCGCAGTCTCACTTAGCAACTACGCCAACAGACTTGTTTAAGAATTTGAAAGATAGGTAAGTTATTCATGAAAATATTCTTTTTCCCAAACGTGTAAGCCCCTTACATTTTTTTTAATTTGTTCAATTAATGTTTAGTACCCGGAGGACCGAGCTTTGCTCGGTTTGTTTTTTTTGGTAAATCGTGTATTTTGGAAATTACATTTAGATACAAATTACTGAGTAATGAAATATGCATAATATTTTTCGATCTTACCGACGTAATAATAAGAAAATATGAACTGATGTTTTTCACAAAAGAAAGAACTTAAAAAAAAAGGGAAAAAATAAGAAAATAAAAAATCGACAAAAAATTAAAAATAAAGAAAGCAATGATCTGGAATCGAAAAAAAAGTAAAAAAATAAATGTGTAAATGATCGTGACGCGAACCACGGCCGTCTGTTTTGGGGCCGCCCGATTACCGACCGAGCTATTTTGACATTTTCTCTTGCGGCGAAATTTACCGTCATATTCGAATTATATTTTTCATTCCCTGAAAACAGGGATAAAAGGACATTTTCTAAAAATGAAACCTAGCTAGATCGATTTTTCGCCCCCCAATCTATGCACATACTAAATTTCATAAAAATCGCTGGAGCCGATTCCGAGATTCCAATTATATATATATATATATATATATATATATATATATATATATATATATATATATATATATACCAGAATTGCTCGTTTAAAGGATAAGATTAGTGGTCGCCCCGTGGTCGAAAATTGAGCATTGTTAATTTAAATTATAAATTTAAACAATAATAATCTATTCTCAATTTGACCACATACTTTAAAGATAAGCAAAAAAGTACAATATGCGTCAAATACATGTGTAATGCTTATTTATTGATTTAATGTATTTTTATGCATAATTTAAAAAAATATTAGCATTTTTTCACTTCTCTAAGTATGAGACATTCAATACTCTTCCGTCCACGCAATTCTCGTAAAAAGGGGTACAAAGTTTTTGCTTCACGTATTATTATATAGATGAGTCCTAAATTAAAAAAGGAAAATACATGTAGTGAGTTTGTTTCTTCTGAAACGGTCTGATATGCATCTAACACATGTATCAAACAATGAATTCATGAATATTGTTTCGGGATCATTCCAGAAAAGTTGTTTTGTCATAATTATCACCTGTGTTTTTACATAATTTTCACATAGTAATCTTCAACTTATAAAATTCCCAGGACATATGTGTGGGTGCGTGCGTGTGTGTCTGTGTTATTTATTATAGAAACCTAGTTTTAGTTTAATCTGTGAATGTTGTTATATGTATAATCGATTCAATTGTTCTCCGTTCGTTTGGATGTTTGACTTCGACTAAGGTGACATTGGTACGAAATTGGGGCATTTTTCATGTTAAGTTTATCGCAACACAATCAGTTGACCCCAGGGCCCCCTTTTGGTATCTCTGTGTAAACAACGAAGGCGAAGGAAGTCGACATTTGGTTTTTGATGATGCGTCAAACTACACTTACTGTATTTTGTATAACTGATGTTACTCTTTCAGTCCTTAGACTTATTAAAGCTTCATCGAACGCAGAACCGGGGGCTAGCCGGGACCCACGGGTTTGAGGCCCTCCTCAGTGGGTAGGGCCGCGCATGTACACATGCGTGCGTTAGTTGTGACATGTCACCTACGGGCCATCGAGGTTCGACGAGGACCGTGACCCCGATGGCCGTTGACTGTGCTTGTTTATTCGGTGGCATTTCACTTATCTGTTATTACTACAAGCGTGCTCGAGAAGAAAAAATCACGGCACACTCACACTGGAGCTGTAAGCAGGCCCGGAACAACACGGAAAATCGTTTCAACATTACAATGACCCTTGCACACCTTCTGCCAAATCCATAAAATTTCATTTTTTTTTATGCGAAAAGTTGCCAAACGAGCAGACGGGTCACCTGATGTTAAATGAATACCGCCGCCCATGGACATCTGCTACATCCGAGGGTTACAGATGCGTTGACAACCTTTTGAAAATTGGGCTCCGGCTACCTCACTCACCAGACGAAACGCGAAAGTATTCATAATCGTAAGGCAGTACAACGAAGCTTATTCTCAATTTTAGTTGTTTAGAACGCCTCATGGCTTACTTCACGCTCGTCACTTGTTTTCATATGAATTAGATTTTTATTTTCGCATTTAAATATTCTTAATTTCACAATTCGTTTCATTTCAATAGAATATAGAGGCAAAAATATTCGTCTCGTTTCTGGTGGGAATGGTTCTCGTATCGAAGTGATTGCTTTTTTTCTGGTTTGTTCAAATGTACTTTAATAATACCACCCTCCCACGCCGCGCGCTCAATGGCTATCGCCTTGCATGTTTTTGACAAATTAAATTTGTTCCCATCGTAAATACGTAAGCACTGTTTAAATATGTGATTTTGTTTAGTGTAACTAATGATAATCAACTACGGTCCTATAAAATATAATCGTCTATCACTGTGTAAAAAAAAAGAGATTGTCTAAGAATGTAACAAAGTACAGTGCCAAAGAATATATATATATTGTTACATGCCTCATAATCAGTTCAAGTGGATAGACATTTATTTGATATTTTTTATTAAATTTTTATATAAGGGAGTTGATTAAGTAGATATGAGACTCAACGATTAAAAGGAAAATATATTATTGTAAAATATTTTTTTTTTAATTATTCGTCTACAACAAAACTTTGAAGTTCTGTATTTGTTATTGGCTGCCTAACAGTACCTACCCAGACATTCGGTATTCGGCCAATTAGCATAAATGTAGCCAAAAAAAGCCGAATACCGAGTAATAGCCGAATAATCGTTTCAAGTAAAGTTTGTACACACCGAAATCGATACTAATGAAACCACATATGTAATTTGCTTGAATTTGCGATTCTTTTTGGCTGTTTGACCGATATCCAGAGCCGTGGAGCAACTATTTAAGCCTCAGATCCAATTGCCTACCAAAGTCACCTTCGTCGTAATCAAAAGTCCGAACTGATGTCAATAGAGATTGGTTAAATCGCTTTGATGAAACAAAAATCTTGCTCCGTTTCATAGTTTATTTGTCTAACACGCACTGTTTGTCTGTGGTTATGCGATGTATCTTAGTCATTAAAAAATAATAAATCATTAGAATAGGCGCTTATCGACTTAAAAAGAATACACTTTCTTGACAAAGTAATTATTGATATATCATAAAGAGTACGTGAGTGTAATATGATTGATAAATTAGCTTAGTCTCTTTTTACAATAAATGAATCCAAGATCCCATATAAGTATATGTATGTATGTGTATATTATGTGCACGTGTTATAGTGACTTTTTCGTCTATGCGTCTAATAAAATGACAAAAATACAGGCGTGCATGATACTCTGCGAGTCGCCGGCTAGTAGTAGTTAGTGATAGGTCCTTCCGGACGTTTCCAGTCTGTCCGGTATTGCGAGCAACAATTAGTCGAATTAGCAAGTACGGCCAGAGGAAACCGGGGCACGACCCTAGTTAGCGTAATTCCGAAAAAAGATCCATTACGTCTGTGTCAAAGTACTCTGTGGCCCGTCGCGGTGCGTCGTAACGCCGAGGGTCAGACAATGTCACTTACATACGCCTTTGAGCGTGGCCGGTAAACAAACAAACGCGGCGCTATATACTATAGACGTTAAACTTGTGTCATTGTATTTCTTTTTAATGGCGGGAAACCGTGTCCTATTGCGACGTCGAGCCGATTTGAGATCTGTCACCGCAGTTTACGGTCGACTTTCGCCTGGCCCTCGGATCGAACGGCCGGCGGCGTGGCGTTGAGTTCGCGCCGAAATTCGAATTTCGAATTTGTTTCGCTCCGATCGTGTTGTTTATGGCGTGCGAAGCGGTCGGTTGCCCCTTGGTATGGGATGCGTCATATTGTTGTCCCTTTCCCATCGTTGCGTAGCGTTTGCAATGTGAGTTTTCCAGGCGGAAATCAGACGGTTTCGTAAATTGAATTGTAACTCGAACGAAAATAAAGCTTTACAACTGGGATGGATGACATTTAGATTCTCATATATTTGGGCTCTTTTGCACATGGAGATATGTACGAGGAGCTTCACAATAAGAACAGAACCCATCACTGAATCATAAAAAATATTCGGTTACTTTTGGTAGATCCTAAGCAGTTGTCAATAGCCGGTCACATTGATAACTCGCGATGACCAAAAGTCACCGTTTTTCCCCCGACTGTCGCTACAACGGTGTTATTTTGACATTAAGACATTTTTATTTTTTTAATTTTTTATTTTATTGGGAATAACAAACAGCTACAATATATGACATGAACAGATCTGTTGCGTTGATTTAGTAATAATATTATCCACGTATTACCACCACATTATTACCCACCACATTATCCACGTATTTGACATTTCTTACGTAACGCACAACTCCGTGCAGGATGCGGCTCGTAAAAAAGCGAAACCCATCAGGCGGGCCCCGGCGACGCCGAGTTGTGCGCAGGGCGCGAAAAAAAAAAGACGCTATTACGTAACGAGCTTTTTCTTTCATCGGCGGCTATAAATAATTTATTTTCATTGCTAAACCGCACTGACATTGACCCCGTTCGATGGCCGTGACGCCGCGGGGCGGTGGCACAACGGGCGCGTTTATTATTTACTGAAATATGAAGTACTAGCTGCTGCCGCGACTACGTCTGCGTAGAATTGGCTGAAGGCAGAAAATTCAGACTTAAAGACATATACGCATAAAAATATGTATATTATATGTGTATATTATTGTAAAGTTTCATTAAAATCTGTTCAGTAGTGTTTACGTGAAAGAGTAACAAACATCCATCCATACATACAAACTTTCGCCTTTATTTTTTTTTTATAGAGAAAAGGGGCAAACGAGCAGGAGGCTCACCTGATGGTAAGTGATTACCGCCGCCCACGAACACCTGCAACACCCGAGGGCTCACAAATGCTTTATAATATTAGTAAGGATGTCATAAAATAAACACGTCAACTATTGTTTCACATAGAGACCAAAACATGCGTGCATAAAGCCCGCGCATGTCTCGCGCGGGCTTTATGCAAAATGTCAAGATTTTGGCGAGCACTTGAAAATTAAAATTTTAGAGCGATCTCTGGCTTTTCGATGATAATATTTTATAGACGCGATCGCATTTCAACTCATGAGGGCTTTGTTTTAGTATATGTGGCATTTTTTTATCTGATAAAGTTGCAAACGAGCTGGCGATTCACCTCCACGTAACATCAGTGATAACCACCGCCCATGGACATTTGCAACACCCGTACGGTTGCAAATGCGTTGCCACCTTTAAACAAAGTGGACCATGGCTTCCTCACTCACCAGATGAAACGCAGAAGTGTAACACGTCTACTTTACACCGCTCTTATGTGAGGTCGTGGTACGCGGTACCTGAACGGACCTGCCCATTCGTGCAACAGTAAATAATGTTGGGCGGGGATCTATCACAGTTAGGTCTTTGCTTTGTTTACGTTTACTGTGTTTTCGGCCGAGAATTCCTAATTTGTTGCTGATTTCGGGTTTAACAAAGTTCGTGATACAATCATATACCATGCAGGGACCGTGGATTGTCAATCAAGATAGCATCTTTGATATTTACAGCCGTGATAAAAGTCCAAGGGAAGAATAATACGTCATCCAAAACGTTAGAAATACATTCATACATATATCCTTTGCTGGCTCTGATTTCGTAGGAATTTTAATCGCAAAATCCATCATCACTTTGCAGGTCCCCATCCATATTTAATCGGGATCTGAGGCTTGCAATTTTTTTGGCTTACATCAATGAATTTTTAGTTTCTTAAATTTCTTACGTGCAAAAATTTCTTTTAGCTTTGGTCAACCCCATGTACTTCGAGCGGCTTGCAATATATTTCTTGGTGGTGGCGCTTGATTTCTAATCTGATATTAGTCGCTTAGAACTCGTAAGGTCCAAGATTTTTACAAGAACAGTTTATTGCTTGATTACTAACCCACATGATGGCGATGTCATCGGTGGTGGTGTACGTCTTATTCAGAGGTCGTTCGGTCGGTCGTGCTTTGCCCGTAGAACACTGAAGCCATTTGCGGCGTGCTCCCGCTGTGTCGCCGCCCTTATCCCTTGTCGACTCAATTCCATCGTGTCGCTCCCAGATCACAATTCGTCTGCGTGCTGCATATCGTTGACCCTAAGGCCGGTGTTTACATGCGCCGGTCGCTTAAACATCGACAGAGTCCGCTATCTCGATTGCTGGTTTTCCCACAGTCTGAACCCGCCCCGGAGTGTATAATGCGCGCGAAACTTGCGCCTCTGAAGTTCGTCCAAATCGCTGCACAGAACACTATTTATAGTTATTGGAGGGGCCGCGTGCCTGCTATAGGTGCAGGGTATCGCCCTCTCGTTCGCGCCGCAGATAGCTTCCTTTCCTGCTCCCACGCGTCACGCTAAAATTGCTAACAACTTTGCCATTATATTTTGTGAATATATTTTTTTTAGATAGATTTGATTCCATAGCTCTATTAATGTGAATCGCGGTTATTTCTCATAAGTTTAGCACGCTCTTCGTACTGACTACGATCGCTCCACTAACCGGTTCGGAAGACGCATTCCGTCCAAACGAACCAAGTTTCGATTTTGCGTGTCTTCTATTGTTTGCCATTATTTCTCACTCTCCAAGACAGATTTTGTTCCCTATATTTAGTTGCTATTCAGTGGTAATATAACTTGTGCTTTGCTAGTATTTTGTTGTCGTTTCAACCTATGGCGACATGCATCTCGGGTCGTGGGTACTATCCCCTATACAGGGCAAGCATTCTTGTGATGTGCCTCTTTCATATATGTCATATAATGTAAAGCGGAAAAATTCTTAAACGCCGCGTAGTATGGACATGCGTCATGTATATTATTAAACCTCATCATGGCTTACCATCGTGACTCGCTTGTACGTTTGCCTCTTTTCCATAAAAAAAAGGAACCAGAGTCAAGAGGCGACAGAGGTAACTCGACATTCAAACAGTACCTTTCGCATATCGACCTATCAGGCGAGAATCTCGAAAGCATTTCGAATTTAACATCACTCCGGCCGATAAACAATTACAATGATGGCATGCCGATTAATAGGGTCGCAATTTGCCGCCGCCTTCTCGGAAATTTGTTTGTGCGGGAGCCACGCCACGAGCTTATCGGTCGCACCCCTAGTTCGTTTTTTTTTAAACTAGGCACGCTACTAATGTCACCAGTCGCATGGCACGTTAATAATGATTCGTGTTTGAGTCGTAACTTAGAAAGTGATTGGTGGATTTTTTTTTCATTATCGAAAACATTTTTATTTCAATAATTTTAAGTTTTCGTTAGAGGTTAATTAAATGTTTGTAAATGTGCAGAGCGGCGACAGCTCAGTGTCAGGGCGCCCGCTTCTAATTCATTATGCAACATGAGTTCAAATCCCGTCAAAACTGGGGATCTAAGGTTTGGACGAGTGTTCTTTCATACTAATATGTCTTTTACAGGTGAATTACAGCAGTACTTACGTGGTAGCTCAGTCTCCGTGCGGTTGCATTTAATTCAATTCACTCGAACAACCTGGGTTCGATTCCGAGCACCAATGAAATTGTTAATTTTAAGTGCTGACTTATCAGTGCTCAGGGTACTAGGGTCACCACTCTACTCCACTGGGTAGAGTGGTGACCTATGCCCTAGTACCCTCGGTACAGAGGCCTGTCCAGCAGTGGGACATGTATAGGCTGTTACTTTATATCGTTGTTTCATTAGTTTTATCGTATATTACAACGGGTGCCTCATTTTGAAGATTGCTATAATATTCACTCATCATTAACTTACAGGAGTGCGAAATATTAGGTGCATAAAATACTATATTGTAGATTTTATAAGACGATAGCACCCCCCGTTGAGTTAGTATCTTGATTAGGTTTCCCGTGCGTCATTTGTCCGACGCCGCGCCGCGTGGCGTTGAGTCATGTTCGCACGCGGGCACGTTCCCGATGTACACGTGCGTACATTTAATTCATTTGGAATTGCATTGGATGTGTATATATTAGTTTTGGGCATCGTTCACCTTCTGTGCCGCATGACGGGTTTGAAGGGCGTAGAGCGAATTTCGATTGCGTTGCAAGCCGAGGTTCGAACCTCCATCTGAGGGGCCCCCTCGGATCCCACCCCCCCCCCCCCCCCCCCCCCCCCCTCCTGCTAGTCGAATTCGCCATTTTTCGTTAGGATGTTATTGAGTACACCGGAGCGAACGGACTTCGCGTCGTCATCGTGCACCAGCTACGTTGTTCTCCCGAGACCTCTTACCGAAGCTGTCAAAGCCGCCGAGCTAACATTACAAGTATACGTCACAAAAAAAACATATTACATCAATCAACGCAGTTTCAACATTGAATCTTAGCACTTTGGGCATTTTGTATGGGGTTAGAATTCGTGCTACGTCACCGACATGTTAGTGTCACATGTTTTGTCATTGACGTTGGTAACGTTAAATTTTGATCTCTGTAAAACAAATGTCTTGTTATTCGTTAGTGTTTATGTCGTGCATTTGAAAATTTTATAAAAATATAATTTTAATACACATAAAATATTTTTTTTGATTTTCATTATTCATACTATTCATCTAAAAAAAATCCATCACTCATTTAAAAATTAAATAAAACAGTTATTACAGTTATCAAGTGTTCACTTCCGTTGGCAGTCCACTATATCTGAAAGTCCATAATTTTTTTCTTGACTTCGTCGAACACCACCTTTCAAAGTCGGCCTTATTTTCGATTCTATGCTAATTTACCACATCGGGTCGATTCGTCAGCTAGGTACAGTTACACTTGATGTGACCATTTTCATCTAGATCCAAGTCAAGCGAGACTGCATAAGGTTGTTTTCGCACCGGACTTTTCTTACAATAATCACCGGTCCATGCTATCGGCATTGTAGCGGCTTGCGCGTGCACTCCATACATTCAAAAAAGCTTTTCTTACGACCTATCGTCACATACAAACATGCTCCAAAACACTGAAACAAGAGTTACAGTGAAATTTTAATTTTTTTGAGTTATAGAAAAGATCTTAACATCTCACTTTGGATATCATTTAAGTGATCTGTTAAGTTATCATTATTCACTGAGGGAAATTAATAACTTTTAGTACATACCCTGCCTGAAATGTCTGTTTTAACGGGACATTATAAGGCCGTTTGCACATCGGGCTTTTCTTTCTGTAATCAGCAAAGGCGTGGCGCATTAACCATATTTCGTCTGGCGGGCGTTTATACTATTACGACTCACCGGCTGCGGACCTTTTTTGATACAATTTCGATATTGAATATTTTACATCGATAAAATATATCGCTTAAAAATATCGATATATCGATATTTTTTAGACATCCCTATTGCTAATTCGGGCGGGGGGCGCCCGCCAAAGCGCGTGTCCTCTTTCTTTTAGTCTCCTAGTCTTTTCCGAGAACGGAGTTCGGCGCGCTCACCTTGTCGACGTCCTCCGCCGAAGTATTGCGTTTCGGCCGCGCCCAAGCGTACATAGCATGATTCACTTATGAATACACAATATACATAATGTGATCCTTCCAAATGTCTTTTCCACGTCGATGTCTAGTGCGACGTCTTACAGATTCTCCACCGACAATAGTACGTTCAGTAGACGAAGGCGTGGCTTTGTACCGTTAATTTCACTGAGGATGCAAATTGTGATTTTTAGCCTCTCTCCGAGCATAAAGTGAAGAAGTAAAGTATCAGCCTATACATGTCCCACTATTGGGCAAAGGCCACCTCTGTTCTGTGGGTATCAGGGCATAGTCCACCACGCGGCCCCACTGTGGCTTGGCGGACATAATATCTTCGAAATATTTTTTGTTATTATTTCGAAAATTGCAGGTTTCCTCACGATGTTTGCCATCACCGCTGAGCACATGATAATTCAGCACTTAAAATTTTAACAATTTCTTTGGTACTGGCACCGGGGATCGAACTCAGGTTGTTCGAGTATATTAAATTAAAGGCGAGCGCTCGGACACTGAGCTATCACGGCTTATCAGAAAGAAAGAAAGAAAAAAAAGCTGTCCGCTTCAAGTGGAATGCCCTTATTGCATTATAAATTAATTGCGGATAACTTTTTCTGTGGTCAACACGGTTTTACTTTTTCATCATCTCGTACTAAACTCTCTTCTTACATATAAAATGTTCGTTACATATAATTCATTGATACTATATAACATACATACATCATTGAACACATTCTAAATATATTTTCATTCTAACTCCTGCTCAATCATCTGTGTTGTTACAGGAATGTGTCTCTCGACCCGTTCTATCTATCGACCCGTTTTGTTCAAATTAATCAAAGGGCTAATCAGAAGATTGCCTGAAGATTTCAAAATCGATCCAGCATTTATTCTAGAGGAAACATACACGCATAGATAAACAGACACGCATACATATATTGGTATATGGAGGAGTTGATACAGTGTTTAGGCTTTTCATTGATTTACGAAAACGTGCTCTATGGTCCGAAGGGGGAAAATATTTCTTAAATTCTTCCGCTTAATATGAGTCGCCTCGAGTGAGCTGTCTTAAACGTACGTATGTGCTATGTGGAATGTTGTCGACCAAATGCTCTATGACTCACCTCAAGATTAGTAATTGCAAAAGAGGTATGAGTTTTAAAAACGTACCACTTTTAATTACTCAGATTTCGGTGTACCAAAATGTAGCCTCTTTTCACCTGATGACATGAAAGACTGGAAGACTGATATTACGTCCTGATTGGTTGAAGTATCTGTCCTCCAGGCATCTTTATTTCTTCCTAAATCACCTTTAGATCACTCATCGATGTCGTAGCCAGGAATTAATCGATGCAATCTATAATTATGGTCGATAAAAAGGTTTGGTTTGAAGACCACGGGGATCGTGTTTGTATAAACAGATCGGACGTGGCCCCCGAACGTTTCTAGAATATAAGTTGTTTTTTTTTACACCGACGTGTACATTTATTCGGAATGCGTTTTTATTTCAATGCGGTCACCCGCGGTCTGTGACTCGTCGCGTGACATTTGTTTTTTCGAGCGGGCGAAATATGTCGCATTTAATGCTCTATTCATTTGCTGCGCGCGTGTGTAGTCTTTTTTTATGTGACAAAATGGCAAACAAGCTGACGGTTCACCTGATGTTAAGTGATTACCGCCGCCTATGGACATTTGCAACACCCGTAGGGACGCAGATGCGTTGTCACCTTTATATAAAGTGGGCTCCGGCCACCTCACTCACCAGAGGAAACGCAGAAGTGTTCTGTGAGGTCGTGATACTAACCTGCCCATTCGTGCAACAGAGAACACTTGCGTGGTCCTACCACAGGAGCTTTGAAGGTGTTGCAAGCTTCATATTGTAAGCAGGCAGAGCGTCAGTGGGTCTCGCAAGTGCGGTAACGGTATCAATATGATGACTCCGTGGCGCAGTTGCCAAGATATTGGCTTCGGCGCCGGGGGTCGTCGGGTTCGATTACTATCCGGCACAACTATTTGTGTGACCCCTAGATAATTGTTTCGGATCTGAGTGTTTGTCCGCGTGAAATTTATGTATGTAAAACGTCCTTCCGACACAGGATAATGTCACAGTTAGGGCAATATTTTAAAAACAAAAAAGAAATATATACATATATATATTATAGTATCCAAACTCAAAACGGCTGTGTTGTCTTCGTCGTATGTATTACGTATCCGCGGAGCCTAAGATCCAATACCACTAAAATTATATATGGGACCACATGGGAAGCACCAGGTTTCAAATAAAAAAAGAATCATCAAAATCGTTTCACTCAGTCGAAAGTTTCGAGGTAACAAACAAAAAAATCAAAAATACAGTCGAATTTAGAGCCTCCTCCTTTTTTGAAGTCGGTTGAAAAGTCAAACTCCACGCGGAGCTTACCAAATCGTTATCCCTCGCTGCCGTAATAGCATCAAATCGAGTCCCGCAACGTCCGCTTAAAGCGTCATTCGCGCTGGGGGGAATCCCATCCGGCTGTTCTCACGGGCCCGCAGAGTCTAGGAGAGCGGGCCGCGACCGCAGCGGCAAAAAAGCCGCCGCATAGCCGCTGCAATGCGGCAGGCTCGGGTGCAGCGCTGCTACACACCCTCTCGCCCCTTCCGCACCCCCGCCTCATTTCCCTTCCGCCCCCCGTACGCGATCCGACGTCGCCCAGCGATTGCGAAATTTCCCGCTCGAATTTTGCTGTACGACGTCTGTGATTTCGACCTTTAATGTTCCTTCGTGGTCCTTCTTGATTCGACCTCGTCTCCAGTACTTAAAGTAAAAGTGAAGAAAAGTTACAGCCTATATATGGGTCACTGCTGGGCAAAGGCGTCCTCTGTACAGGAGGTATTCATGGTCCACCACGCGACCCTATTGCAGATTGGCGGACTTCACTTATCTTCGAAATATATTTTTTATGTTATTTTTTCGAAAATATGCAGGTTTATTTGTAACATTTTCCTTTACCGCCATTCACTTGATAAATCAGCCCAGGTCTTTGACCGATTTACCTAATCGGCCAGTTTATAGTTGACGCTTCTTAAACAGTACGATAATATTAAAAAAAAAATGCATGAAATTAGCATTACCCATATTCGCACATATATTGTGTCGTTTCGTCCCGTAATGAGGCTTTGCAATTAAGATAATTTTGATGCGTTTCTTAAAATCGCCACGCTCAGATGTTTATGGTTACTACCAATTTAGATTATATATTTTAACACATTTATAAATAAAAATTATTTTATGGCTTTGACCCGTCGGCGACGAAGAAAACACAGTCGTTTTGAGTTGGGACAGTACTTAGGTACGTTGGGACAGTAATTAGGACTGTTAGTGAGTTTATATATATATATATATATATATATATATATATATATATATATAGTTTATAGATGCAACTTTCTGTCCCTCATAAATATACGAATCTTCGTATTAAGTACAAATATAATACAGATAGTAAATTTGTTTTTGTAATTTTTATACCCAATATTATTGCACTAACCTAGGTTTTAAAGTCTACATTTTATTGGCATATCATATTTCGAATTAACTAACTTAATTCGATTAGCATTTTTTGGATAACGTTAGATATAATATTAAATAATTATCCCAGTATATATTTTATTTGGTCCACTTTTTTTCTTAAGCCCCATTTATTGATTTCTTAGAAGCAATACGATTAAGGCAATAAAAAACCCAAATTGCTGATTCTAATATATAGATGATTATATGATAAATCACCAAATGTACATTATATATCGACTTAGAACATTATTATTCTATGTCGTTGCGCAATGCACCATAGTTTTATGGTATCGGACCCTATGTTAAATGGCTTAAGGTGCATTTTTCTTAGCAGGTCGAACACTACCGGGTCATCGCACCCAGATTTGATAATTGATAAGTTTTTCTTGTCCGGCCAACGCCCTCGATCTTGTGCCTCGTTGTTGTAAGTAATTGTAATTACTAACTAGACTGCTGTGTGAGCATTAAACATCTATCGTGAGTTGTTTTATATCAGGTGAAGCGTGTTGCATGCGTGTAACATTGCGTGCGTAACAGTCTTGGCTTTTACAACGATTTTACATCGTCTACTATTCCATTTGAAACTGTTTGTAGTAATAGGCATTAAATTCATTATGACCAAAGCTCAATTAAAACTTAATCAATCTCGCTTCAAAGTTTTCATTCCGTAATCCGATTTCGCCTTTCATTCCTTTCTCCGATGAATCGCCTACTGTAAATTCCTTTGAAGTTTACTTAGAATGTTGCTTATTTAAGAAACCATTCGCGGCTTTGCAATATGTGTTTTAATTTTTTTTTTAATGTGAAAATTTGCCAAGGGTGCAGATGGTTCACTTGATGTTAAGTGAATACCGCCGCGTTTTGAAAATTGGGCTTCGGCTACTTCGATACTTCCACTTTACGGCGGTATTCTGTGAGGTCGTGTTACTTACCGTCCGGGTAAGTCGGGTAATGGGCCTGCCCATTCGTGCAACAGTCGATTACCACCGTGTTTTAATTTCTCTCGAAACGCGAAAGTATCATAATACTTCCAATTTTCGCCAGTCTTATGTGGAGACTCGTTTCTTCCTGTGCGAGGCTGCCTATACGTGCAACAGTAGAATTAGCTCTGACATATTGCTGAGAGCTTTTATTATTATTATTTATATTAGCTATGACAAACCCACGAGATTAAAACAAATCCGTTGAATTGAAATTGTTATCTTTATCTTTAGCAGTGGTAACTTTTACAAAAAGCACCGATGAATGAAGTTCTAGGAGTAACGGGGTCTGCAATCACTGGTGCTACATTCTTTGCCAAATAGGAAGTAAATTAATTCAAACTCTGGTTGTGTTTATCTGCATAAATTAGGTTTGCAGTTCCGTAACACTATGTTACAAGTTTTTGCTGATATATTCCTTAATATTTCCTTGTGAAGTCTCGTGAAGCTATTGGTTAGGTAGGAAGCTGTGGTAGGGCCACGCAACAGTC